TTTCCCCCCGGCCTTTTTTTTCCTCCCCCCCCCCCCTTTTTTTGGATTTTTTGGGCCAAACGGCCCTTTGGGGTTCCGAACCCCCCTGGTTTTTTTTTTTTTTTTTTGGACCCCCTTTTCCCCGGGATCTATTGTCCCCCCCCCCCCCCCCCCCCCCTCGCCCTGCCCGGCTGATTTTCGAGATTGTTGGTTGTTTGGCCACTTGACTGGGCTGCCGAATCATTCCGACGTTGTGCCGTATGTGCGGTGCCACGACGCCTCCCCACCCTTGCAGAGAGATAGGTAGAGAGAGACCCCCGATGCTTCGGCGTCAGCTTTCATCTCCGACGTGTTCCGATTCAGAGCGATTGTCCGCACCTCAGCCTCGAGTCCCTATCCCACACATCTTTCGTTTCGCCTTGTGCGCTCTCGTTCCCCCCTATCCACCCGGTCGCCGACGCCGACGCCGTCGCCGCTGCCGCTGCCGCTGCCGCTGCTGCTGCTTCTGCCACTCTTGCCACGCTCCTGCGCGTCGCCCCCCGAAAAAAACAACAAATCACAACAGAGCCGAGATCTTCAACGCGTACTTGCACTGCTACGGGTGCGAGACGCTCCTGTCGAGAGACTTGACCCTCTGCCTGGCGTGCCACGCGGCGGGTAGGTTCGGCTTTTCGACGGGGGCAGGTGGTGGGTGTACGGACCAAGACCACTGCCCCGGCATACCGTGAGTTTGGCGTCGTAGCCGTGGTGTAGTGCTGTATACCGTACGACGGAAGACCCCTCCATCTCGGGAGATGTCTTCTTGCGTTCAAGTCGCTCTGAGTTCGTTTGTAGAAAAACCGATAAGGCGCGTTTGCCGTGCCTCCTCCTCCTTCTCTATGTGGGCGACTGATTTGTTTTTTGTAGTTCGGTGATGTAGCCCGGGAACCGTCGTTTTGAAGCTCCTCACGGAGTCCAATCCCTAGTCGTACGCTCTCGAGAAAAGCAACGTAGCGGCGGCGGGGGGGGGTGAGCGGGGGCTGCGGCACAACGAAGACTCATACAACACAATCAATGAAGTATGGAGGAAGACTCGTATAACACAATCAATGTAGTCTCATGTAACACAATCAATGAAGTATGGAGGAAGACTCATATAGCACAATCAATGTACTTATAGTGTGGGTATTTTATTTCGAGGGGCAAAATATGGCGGTGGAGTTGATGAGCTTCGCGAGTAGGTTGGTGTCGAGTTGGTGTTTTCCTTCCGGTGAAGTATTGAAACTGCGGTTGGTTGTGTTCTTGCCTTGATACGATAACAGTTCTCGTGCGCATGTTGCACGCCGATTCATCGGGGTAAGTGGCAGGCAACCCTCGCCAATGTATTGCGTGATTTGAAAGAGATGAGGAGCGCGCGCGAGCCGTGTGCGTTAACAGAGGCCGGAGCAATGGAAGCCAACGTTTCTCTCCTGGCCTTCGCACCCTTGCACGTGCTCTTGGGTGAAAATCACGAATTGGATTGGTTCTCGGCTACAGCTGAACACTGCGATCACTAGAAGCGTGTATTCCTTGACTTGGACATCAGCGGTAGTTGCAATACACCGGCAGGTGTCCTTGCCGTCATCTTCTAGGCCTATCCTTGATGATCGTTCGGCAACCTATTTTTTTTTTTTTTTGTTCTTCACTTCAAATCAGCGCTCACAGCACCAGTGCCGTTTATTCCAACCCGTGGTCACACAGAAGAGCCCCTCTCTACCTTCCCCTCCTGCGGTACTTTGCCTACGGTTTTTCATGCGAGAAGAGTTCAGCACTCTCTTCCCTCTGTGTACACACGAACTAGCGCTATCCACTAGGCCAGGAGCGGAAGCGAGAGAAAAACTCACTTTGCAAGAAAAGCTCGCTTACGCCGGGATTCGAACCCCTGACCTGACCTCTAGAAGGCTTCGAGGTTACCAACTAGACCACCGGGGCGACCGGCTCGTGTAAGGAGGTGAAATACCCCAGCCATTGGCTCGCGCCAGGCACCTTGGAGTCTCGAGATACCACGCTGGGCGCTCTATACGTGACCAACAGTACGCTATCGCCTCAACAACCTCCTCTGTTTCGCAACCGCTACACACCAACACAGCGGAAGGACCCTGGAGCAGCGCGAGCGTGTGTCGAGGTCCCAGCGGAGCCACGGGGTGTTCCCCGCGTCCAAGTGCGACTGCAAGGAGCCGTCTTGCCGACAGTGCCACCTCTGCGTCGCCTGCGCCTGCGACTGCCACGAGCGGTTCCAGCTCCGGTACCGGTTCGAGCACCCTGGTGAGTCAGTCCTGTTATTGGTTTGCGTGGTGTGTAGCCGCAGCTTCGTTTCTCTTGGGTGAGGTACTCACGCTTCTTGCCTCCCCTCCCGCCTTCACTCCGAAACATCGCCCTTTCGCCGCCCCCCTCCATCCCCCTCCCCCACACCACACTCCCGTGGTTCGGGGTTGGGTTTTTCGTCGCTTGGCAACGACATTGTAAAACAAGGCTGCCCCCCCCGGTGTTTGCCATCGGGGTTGGGTTTTCGTCGCTTGGCAGCGACATTGTAAAACAAGCTGCCCCCCCCGGTGTTTGCCGTCGGGGTTGGGTTTCGTCGCTTGGCAACGACATTGTAAAATAAGCTGCCCCCCCCGGTGTTTGCCGTCGGGGTTGGGTTTTCGTCGCTTGGCAACGACGTTGTAAAACAAGCCCCCCCTCGGTGAGAACCCGGCGTGCTCCGTCCCAGCTTTGTAGGGATGCGAGGTCAATGGTCTGACGCCTACGGCATGCACGACTATGAGTAGCCCACCCCCCTCCATTGCCCGCCGAAACAGCCTCCCTGGACACCTTCGTGAAAAACGTAAGAGACGTGGCGGGCGGAGCGACGTCTACCTCCCAAGAGCTGCCTCTTGATTCCGCCGCCGCCGCCGCCGGTGCCGCTGTTTCCTCCAGCCGCCGAGGGGACGTAGTAGCCGGAGGCGTTACGGCGGCGGCACCGGCTCTCGGCGCAGGAGACGCATCAAAACCGGGGACGGGCGGGGGGCCAGCAAAGGTTCCACGCAAACGTCATCGCGGAGAGGCATCTTCGCGAGACGGCGAGAATGGCGCTCTGCTCAAGCAACCGCCGCCGCCGCCGCAAGTGGAACGGGGTGGGGGCGGTCAAGCCGGACCAACCGCGGCCGCCACCGCCGCCGCCTCCGCAGGAGGAAAGGGAAGCGCGAACGGGAACGCGCCGGCGGTGGTTACCGCCGTGGCTGCCGGCGACGACGGGAAGAAGAAGAAGAAGGCGGCGGACAACAGCGGGCCTACGCTGTTCCTGAAGAGAAATGTGAGGCGGGTGGAAGGACTCAAGCCGCTGGCATGGCTTCCCCGGAACGATGTTGATGATAATGACAACGGCGTTGGCGGTGGTGGTGGGTGCTCCGACGGTGGCCGTCGATCCGGGGCCCAGTCTACGGCCCTGCCTCCCACTGTTGCTTCCGCACCGACCTCAACCGTTGCCGCTGCCGCCGCCGCCGCCGCAGCAGCAGCAGCAGCAGCGGCAGCAGCGGCGAACGGGACGTCAACATCACTTGTTGGCGTCGCTGCGAGTGCCGAAGCAGTCTAAACGGGTGGGCCGTCAGCGACGACTGCGGCCGAAAGGAGAAGGGGGAATGGGCCTGGGGTGGCAGCCGCAGTGGCGGCGGGAGGAAGAGGCGGCGGCGGCAGCGGCGGTGGCGGCCGGGGGAAGAGACGTCCGCATGCAGAGGCCAACGAAAACGGCAGGAGCGAGGCGAAAAACGGGCCTGCCACATCGTTGCCGTAAGCGGTGGTGCGTCGAAGACCGTCGACTCTTTTGTCCGGGGTCTGACTTTCAAGACCAGGGATGCATACCATAATTAATTCATGCAAAAGTACATCCAGGTGGCGAGGCGAAAGATGCCCGTGTGTGAACCGTGGGGGGTGTAAGCCGACGTGTTTTGAGACTACAGCTGGGTGTGGCATCATGTCTGATTGCGGGGCAATCCGGGAGCGCTCTTCGAGAGGAGGCTCGTGGAGGCCGGAGAGAGCGAGGCGAGGGTTTGTGTCGGGGGCGAGTTGGAAGAGAAGTTGGCCCGTTCGGTGATGGGACAACTGGCTCCGGGTCGACGGCCTGTAGTACTTTAGTGGCCTGGGGATCGCTTGATAAGCCTGACTACAAAGGCGTGCTTTTGTAGCACACTCGCGCCCACCGCGAAAGCGATAAGAGGCTCGACGTAAAGGCGAAGGCGCAGATGGCGTTGCGAAACGTGGATGGAAGATGGAGGAGCAGCCATAGGGATTCCCAATACACGACGTGATGCGCGCTCTAGGTGTTGTGCTCTTGCTTCCGCATTTTGGTTGCATTCGATTGGTGGGGTGTAAGTAAAAGTGGTCGGCGTCTTGCACCCCTTCTTCCCGGGAAAAAGTCAACGTGCTGGGCATTAAAGAGGTGGGAGGGGATGGGTCAGAGGAACGAAGGGCTCCAGGCGTTGTCGCGAGCGGAGTCTAAGGTGCACATTTGCTTATTGTGGGCTACGCTGTGTGCTTGTAGTTGCTACGTGTAGTTGTACGATTGGGATGTACATGGCTAGATGCTCGTCGGTAGTAGTCCCTGTTAGATGCTGCCAAGTCGCTGTTGAAATGTGTTTTTTATCATGTTTCTTTATTGTGCGTCTCGCCGATATATTACTATGACGTGCACCCGGGCATTTTTTCATGATACAAAGGGGACTCCGACAACGGACTGCGTCCGGAGCTTGTTTCCAACGGCAATTCTAGGGCTTTCCTGCCGTGCGCATCACGATGGAATGCTCAACACTACATTACCTACACATCGACTTGGGCATTGCTGTCCGCAATAGATTCTCGATCTGGGCGCTGTCAGCGAAAAGTGTTTTTGCACAAATTTTTTGATCTGCAGGCCTAATGTCAGGCTGCCTATCCATGCTGGCACAAGAGACTTTACAGAATTGACTGTAGATATTCATTCAATTGTACAGACCTGCCACGTGGAACGAAACAAAAGCAAACTTCTTTGCGAAAGTTGACTTTGACCTTAATTCCTCGATGCTGTTGCTGGTCGCAAGAGGTTGCCCACGCTGCCCATCGATGTGAAGTACGTGCCACATTTGACATCGCAGAATCTATCGATAGATCGTGCAGCTCGATATGGATTGCCATGCTGGTCTAACGATAGATCGGCTCGGTCTTTAGCCATAACAGTGTGAGTAATCCAACGATCGACGGCCATTCACAGCAACCATGATTTCATCAATTTCCAGTGTTCTATTTGTAGGTGCATTGTCTATTTTTGTCCAGGTTATGGACCTGAGTCTTGGGGGCTGGTTCCATTTCTCGAACAACATTGGTTCGTGCGATTGCGATACGCCGTGCCACCACCATAAAGATTTAAAAAACGGCCATACAATGTTAAGAATTGTCAAAACCGAGAGGGACGAACTATCGTCGCTATCATCGCTGTCTTTAGTGGCGTCGACGCCTTTGTCTTGCACAGAGAGCATGGAGCGCGCCAAAGGAGTAGCCGATTATCCGTGACGTCCGCAAGAAAACCGAAAACGGACAAATGAATGACACAACAATAATGGTCGTGCTGCCTCGAAGTGAATCCAGACAGAACGTGCTGGCCCAACGAACGAACGCCAACGGTTCCATCGGAGTAAATCACACCCAGGAATGCTCAGCTTCACTGCCCTTACCAACATTGAAATGAAGTGAGTGAATGCTCTCAGTCGTTCTGGGGTGCCAAGATATCCCTTGTGAACGCCGTTGGATCTAGGCGCACGTGAGCCGTCCACGAAGTGATGTCATTATCGTGTTGACCAGCTGCGTCATAGCACTTGGGCGCCTGGGCCATCATCATGGGGTCTGTCATGTCTGGTGGTGATACCCGCGGCTCACCATGAACGGTTGACAACCACGAAAAAAACAGGGTCCTCTCGCCGCTGATTCAAGGTGCACCCTTTTCGGAGTAGTGTGTGACGAGATGTCAGGCATGTCACCGGTGGCGGCGGCAAAATGCTACTAAGCATAATGACAGGCACAAAAAGAAACATCGAACGCGATCGAAAGCAAACTGAGGGGAAATTCGACACATGATTCGTCTCGAAAGCTTCCGATTTCACATCGAAGCAAAAGCGACGTTGAGTCTGAACACCATGCAATACGGAAACTTTGACGTTCTTCGTTTAATTTGCTTTGTCGGTGATCGAGTGTCGTGGTCGAGCCTTATCGAAGAGTAACCTGCGTTACTTGCCCTCATTTTCACTGCGACTGTCACCGGACCATAGGAATGCCCCAACCCTGAGTGAGTTTTGCCTAAATCACGTTCCCCCCCAAACCCAGAGATCGTGCACCCCACCAAAAAATGCAAACGGAGGGGTTCATCCATCAAAGCCCTATTTTCAATGATACACTCACGTCATTTTCGTTACATAGCAACGTTCTTCATCCATTTTGCGTTGATGCACAAGTCTATGCCCTTATTGGCGCAGACGAAAATTGAATGTGCACCGTTCCTGGTCACTAATGATGAAGTGCCGACTGACAAAAGGTGTCGTGAGCGTTCCTCGACGGAGACAATCCTCTCGGTCGGTAATGAACTAGAGGAACGGTAGAGAGGCATGCCAACTCTGCCAATCTCGCCGGACCCTCATTGCAAGTATACCCTGCAAATCTAGTCGGCATACGCTGCTCACCGTCTTGGACGTAGGCGTCATCGTCGGCCCCAGTAACGGAGGCGTCGTCAGATCCCGCGAAAGTCCCAACGGTTTCGAACATCTCTTCTGCCCTTCTTCTGATAGATCCGTCCGACTCACAATGGCTAGTGAGGACGAGTGACGTAGCCGGGCAGCTCACTTGCTCGAACGTGGGTGCTTCGTACGGTTCATCCACGCAAACCATCATGCCATCGTCGACCATGGCCCGTGACGCATACGCTTGCATCGTATCCCACGGCTTCCATGTTACTGTACCAAGGTTGCAAGAAATTCTAGTCTACGTGGGGTAGTCACTCACGTACGACAAAGCGCCGGAGGTGCTCCTGGTGCCACATGCTGAGCACGTGCCGTCGCTGGAGTCATCCATTCCGGAAGAGGTAGCGGCCCATAGGCAACCGGAGGCGTCAGCACTGTCACAGCCTGTCCAGGTAGTTGCGGTGCCCCCTGTACTCACTTCGCGCCCCACGCTGTTTACGCGTTGCCCACGGTCATCCCACTCCACCAGGATGTCGGTGTCGAAAGGACCCAGCCCTAACAGCGTGCAGCCTACCAGGCACTCGGAAGCGTCGACGATATTGGTGTTAAAGCACCTAATCAAGAGCCACAAGGCGGCGGTGCCAAGCACTTCTTTGCAGGCCGCGTGGACCAATACCTGCCGTGTTTCTCTTTCATACGGAGAAATGCAAGCGAGCCCTTTCGATCATCACGAAAATCATTGTGTTTCCATGATGATGCCTTCTCCACACTGTTGTGTTCACGCCCCCCCACTCCCTGATGATGTGGTGGATCACACGCTCTGATGCTACCTGTATACGGCCACCCCTCTGATACGTCGTGATATCTCCAACCCTTCAAATCACATGCAGACGCGTATTGGATAGCACGGATGATATGATTAAACAACGTTGTGTCGTGGGAAGAGATGCCCAAAGGTGGACGGGGCCCCCAATCAATTCGTGGGGGTCCCAAAGGGTAACGGGGGGACGCTAAGGTGGGGTGGTTGGTCCCTTCGATGTTTCGGGAGTCGAGTTTCCGAAAAAGACCTCTTTTCGAGGGGGTGTCTACATACTGCAGCAGGGTCCATCGCGAACGTGGACAATATTTCTGTTGGCCTTGATGGTAACCAGAAACTACGATTCAACATTGGGTTGGGAGGGGGCTCTGAAAGGAGCAGTGTCTTTGTTCCAGGTGGCTCGAGTCATTTTCGATACTGCATAAGATGTAGAACACAAGTGCGTAGTAGATAGGCTTACATGCATCATGAATGAATGCGATAGTATTGCTGTTTGTTTGGTGTTGCACGCGAGTGAAAAAAGGGAAATGCAGCGTTTCACGTTTTTAACTTTCCCGTGTTTCGGGCGCAGCAGTGCGCGGCGGGTTTTCCTTGGACATTTTCGCCTCTTGCGCGGCTACATATCTAGCTTGCACAGATACATCCTTCATTGGCTGTCAGAAGAGAGAGAGAAAGAGAGAGGCGCTGCTTCTTGAATTCCCTCTCCGTGTACCCTTGTTCAAGACCTGCTGCCCTTCGATGGGTGTGCGGGCTGTGGTTGCGAACAGAAGTGTCACCAAAGAACCATACGTTTTTGCAGAGGAAAAAATAGTCAGCACGTTTTGGCAGAGGAAAAAATAGTCAGCACCAGCGCACAGCTGTACCGCCGTACCGCCGCAACGGTGGACATCCGGGTAGTGACAGGAGAGTATTCGTAGGGCTCCCCTGTACGTCTTCGAGGAGGGCGTTTCGACAAGCCAACAAGGGGCGGGGGGGGGGGGGGGGGGTACTCATAGTCGTGCATGCCGTAGTCGTTAGACCATTGACCTCGCATCCCTACAAAGCCGGGACGGAGCACGCCGGGTTTTCACCGGACCAGGCTCTCATATCACCAATCGCGAAGCTCCGTGAGGTATTCGGCGAGTCGGATGAAGGGTGCGCTGCATCCTGCTAAGGCTGTTCGGCATCTTGTGCTTGCTTCCTTGCGTACGGATGACAGCTGCGTAGGACTTAGTTTATTTCTGGTGCTTTCACTTCCAGAGACAGTTGTAACCACTGTGTAACTGCCTCAAGGGTTGCTTGACCAATTGAACACAATGTGGTGCGATCATCCCCCTTGCGCGGAGTGAGGGTCCTCGACCCCGCACAACATATTCTACTCGACCACCATTCATGGTTGCCGCAAAAAACAAACAAACAAACAAAGGCAGAAACAAAAAGCGGTAACCTGGTTGCTGAGCTCACGAAGTGATCGGCTTGCTTTGCAACATCGCTGACGAAAACCCAACCCCGATTCCAAACACCGGGGAGGCGGCTTGCTTTACAACGTCGTTGCCAAGCGACGAAAGCCCGACCCCGATGGCTAATATCGGTGGGGGGGGGGGTTCGCAAAAATATACCGTGACGTTTTGGGGTGCCCTGGACTGGTCACCCGTAGTCTGAGCCAAGCTTTTGCGGTTGTACGGTGGTATCGTCAGTTCAACTGAACCGCAATTTGCGTTTTCGTTGCCGCTGCATTCTCTTTCGAGACGCGTGGGGTCAGAAACTGATTACCCTGCTCCAGATATGCATGTGGAATTGTGGGATAGGGTCATCAGGAGTACGGATGTGTTTGTGTAGAATAATGTGTCGGATGAGTCTTTGACGTGGTCTTACGGGATATTTCAATTTTCGTGGCCAGCAATGGAAGACTACCGCACTCGATCGTGTTAGGTCCTCAGGAAGCCACGGATTTGTTCAAAGCGTTCCCACTACGACTGAAGTCGACCACGGCCCAATTCCTTCTTCTGGCCTAAGGAAGCATTGTACGGTAGCCTATAAGCTTGACGCGTTTATTGGCTAACATCGGGAAATGAATATGATGGTGCAGACATACCGGGGTCTGGGTCACCGTGTTGCTAGGCTCTTCGGGTTTTCATTGACATAACCCCCAGTACGCAGGTCGACACTATATAACATCAGCAAGGCCTCCGTAGCATCTCAATGGACGAACTTCCGACCGGAAACGTCGCGTTTCTCCCATTCTATTCCCGGCCGGAACGGTTTTCCTCCTTCGCAACGCGGAAAGGAAAATGTGTGCCTGCTTACGTGCAGTGTCCACTGTATCTTACGTGTTGTCATTGATTTGGCGTTGTGTGGTTGTGGTTCTTGTTGTTGCTGTTGGCGTAGTCGTCGTCTTCGTCGCCGTCGATTTCTGTTGCTGTTTTTTTTCGTTGCATCATATCTGGGCACCAGTCTTCACCTTTCGGTGTGGTGCGTTTGACGCACCAGTTGGGGTCACGCAGAAGGACGTAAGCACTGGAGGAGTTCTTACGTTAATCTCCATGTTTTCCTTGCGGTGCATGCCTCATCTTGTTTCCCTTGATAAGGGTTCAGCTGTCGCTTCCCCTCTTGCTGTGTTTACGCCCGACTATGCGCCTTCCGCCGCTAGATTGCGATTCTTGTTTCGTTCCCGAGCGCTCCAAGCCTAGCTTCGTATGTAGTTGACCAATGTCCTCAACGGCGAGGTTTTTAGCTATCGTAGTTTTTACAGGTTGAAATTGTGTTTTCTCTGCACCGTTCATACTCCCTCTTTGTGGCTGTTCTTGTTGCACCCGCGCAGGTACCTCTTTCATAGCGCGCGTTGGTACTCAGTCCATTGCGAGCGGCGTGATCCGCGTGGTCTGCTATGTACAAGAAGGACGAAGTTTTTCAGTCGTGTGGGGGTCTATTGTACACGCCATTGTGATTAACGTTCTTCGGCGACGCTGCAGGAGGGTGTGGCTCCCGTGTGGCTCCCGTGTTCTCTGCCTTGCGATAGTTGTGGGAACCTAGATGCTTGTTGCTCGAAAACAAGGCTATATCTGCTCGCGTGAGACAGAGAGACCCTTGTGATATGTACACGGGCATCGCTAACGCAGAAAAAAAGGTTAAAGAGATCGGAGAAAAGGTACTCAGACCAGGCACGGCCCCATCGCCCGTCCTCCTGCTCGCCAGCTTGGGATCCTGCATTTCACGTCTCGAAACAAACTCCGGGACACGGGTGCGCGCAAGCTACGCGGGGTGCCTAGAGCCACGTGGTTCCTCGCGATCCCCCGCAACGTGCCCCTCATCACGGCGAGATGTCCAGCTCAACGGACTCTTCCAACCTGTGGTGGAATTGCACCGCTGCGAGCTTCGATTATGTCGTACAAACTAATATTAGCAGAGTTTCTCCCTACCTCCAAGGATCACGCGGAAAAATGAAATAACTCCCATACCCTGTGGTCATCTGAGACGCCTGAGCAGATAAACAGATCCCCGAAACATGCTCCAAATTTGAACCCCCACACCCCTAGTGCGTCTACCATAGACGAAGGGCCCAAGTGATTGGCCGACGAGCTGGACGCCAAGGTGTTGGAGACGGATCCTGTGTTTTGCACTTTCTCCAGATCTTGCACCTGAGGGACCCCCGCCCCCCCGGGAAGGCTAGCGCCCCTATTTGCGACAGACCAAGGTTGGAAACACCGAGAGCACTGAACCACTTCAAAGACTACCGTTGTAAATGTACGGCGGCGGTCATTTCGTCGTCTTTCGGACAGAGGCCAGAAGGGTCCAATAGAAGGGCTTACAGAATATAGGGCCGCCCGTCGCAGATGAAGACCGCTCTGATTCTCATCTACCGCAGGTGATGCTGTTGTTGTTGCAGCAACAGCAACATTCGTTGTCGAAGATCTGACAACTGGCGCCACAGCCATACTTACAACAACATCCGACAAACCCAGCCCCAAGAATAGACCCAACTACTATCCACCATGTCGGAATATCTTCACTGTCATCGCCGGCGTCATCAGTATCTTCCCTAGATGTTGGGGCTGGCGTATCCACCGTACGACCTGCAGAACGACCACGTTCGGTTACACGGAGAAATCGTTCATCAGACCCAACCGCACGGAACCTTGAGTTCGTGAGCGTACAAGAATTGATATCAAAATGACGTCCGGCTGGCTAGGAGGACATCGAGCTCGCTCCCCACTCCACACAGCTTACAACGAATCAAACCGCACCATCTGGGCCGCTTCAGGACATCGGGGCACATAAATGTTCAGGCTTGCCATTTCAGCGAAAAGTTTGTCCCGCTTCACTTAGAGAGCATTGAACCCTAGTCGAAATTGCAGAACGAATTGTTGAAGATGCTGGGTGTCGTCTGCGAAGCAGATAGTCTATGCAGCTGTGTCGAATAACATACGTAGTTCACAACTCTGCCGGAAATTGTGCACTACTTGGCATACTTTATCTTCGAACTATGTTTTCACCTCGGACGAATGAGAGAGGACACGGAGAAATTGGAAGCCCAACACGTGCTCGAGTATCAGATCGCCATGCATCGCAAGGCATTGGCAAAGATGCTGCAGAGGAATCTGGCGTGCTTTCAGCATTTTCCCTTGCAATACAGCCCAACAAAGTACTACCGCTGCAACATTTGTTCTGTACATTTTCTGATCCGTTTCTCTTACAAATCATTTAACTCAATCAGCATTCGAGGAGAGGTTCTACGTCAATTGTTGTTAAACGCTTGGTGGCACGGAATGAGACAAAAACCTGGTATCATTTACTGCAAAGTTTCCCCTTAAACGGGAACGAGGACATTCTAGGAAACTCAGCCACTGTCTTCTTCGTTGGTGTTACGAGGAAGGAAACAGGGTGTGGGCATCGTGAAGGGCCGACTGATTACAGTACAGCCTCGTTGCAACACCCCGTAACGTTATGCTACCATCACCGGATCTCCACGCATGCATTGCTCACCACCATCTGCGGGGAATGTGTCGCCGCCGCCGTCGTCGTCTTGAACTCGTCGAGTTAGGCGATGGATGACGTGGTCGAAATCCGCCGGGGTCCCAATACTTGCGAACATTTCTTCTGCCTCCCTCAAGGATCCGTCGAACAAGCAATCACTAGACGTAGTGAGGACGAGTGAAGTAGGAGGGCAGCTAAGCTGCTCGAACGTGGGTCCTTCGTACGGTTCATCCACGCAGGCCATGACGCCATCGTCGACCACCGCAGCGACGCAAACGCTTGCATCATATCCCATGGCTTCCATGCCCGCAATGTAGCAGGCAACTCTAGTCCACGTGGGGTAGTCGCTCATATACGAAGACGCAGAGGTGTCCGGGGCGCCACACACGGAGCACGTGCAGTCGGTGGAGCCCTCCTCCCCAGACCCGGCGGCCCATAGGCATCTGGACGCATCGGCACTGCCGCAGCCAGCCCAGGCAGCTTCGATGTTCCCAGCATTCACTTCGCACGCGGCGCCGTCGTCGCATTTCCCGCGATCATCCCACTCCACCAGCATGTCGGCGTCGAAAGGATCCAGCCCTAACAGCGTGCATCCTACCAGGCATTCGGAGGCCTTGACGGTCTTGGTGTTGGAGCACCAAATCAAGAGCCAGGCAACGACGGTCCACAGCAAAGGGCTGAGGTGAAGCACATTATCTGCATCGATCGATCGTGAAACATTGGGAGGTTCATGGTGAAGGGGGAGTGGCGTGAGTTCATTGTTATTATTGTTTGAAATTGGTTTTGGGAACGGCTTATTGACCCAGTCAGCTGTTCCATCCTCTTGCTTCCCAAATGCGCCTGGCAACAAATACCTCTCTCTGAGCGAACCTATCGAACAAAACCAATACACGAGATTCGGGTACATTCCGGGGTACGCAGGGAGAAAACTACATACATGTGTAGTCCGAAGCCTGTGATGTCGGAGCTTTGGAGAGGGGAGGAGAAAGAGGGTGCAACAAAATCGCGGGCTGTGATGGAGGGGCTATAGACGAAGTCTACGCGTCTATCTGGGTGCTTGAAGGTGAAAGCGCTACTACTGGGGGCAGGCGCGGAATCACCTCGCCCACCGATCGATGAAAGGAGGCACCGGGCAACCTACATACAGTACTGTTCCCTCTGTACACACGAATGCAAAGGCTTTGCACACAGGGTTGGCACTGTCCGCATCATCCAATCAGCAGGCGCCTACTTTTTTGCGTCCGTTTCAGAAATTTCTCAAGAACACCGAGTTTTCTGTGCGTCCGTGTTCCATCCTCTCACCAGGCACACCTAGACCCAAATGAGCCAAAGCACTTGGCTGACGAACACACAGCGTATCCAAGGGCCATATCATTGTCTTAGCCAGATTTTCCCATCGGGAGGAACACGACGAGTGGCCGCGTGAACAGCAGGTCAACACTGGACAATTTCCATTTCCAAGGCTGCTCTTTTGGGGTGGTCTCCGGAGGCGGCCCAACCCTACGGAGAGAGTTGGACGCACAAAATACCTGTAGGGGGTGTCCTGCCTACTTGGACGGAATCGTTTTGAAATGTGTTGGACGCCCCACACGCTGACGCACGGCACAAACGGCAGGGTTGTGATGCGCGGGCAGCACGTCAGTTCCTTCTGGATTTCTGTGGAAGGTCCGCCGGCGTGCGGGGGAATGGCAAAAATACGCACCGGAACTTGCCGGAACCGCGGGAAGAATCCATAGTTCGTCTATGTCTTGAGTACTGCATCTCGCATCGATCTGTGCTTGCACCGTCGAGCAAGACCATGAATACCACCGTTGCCGTCGACTCGTGACACTCACGCTGCTGCTGTTTTATTGGGCGCTCTTAACTTTTGGCGGCCTGAACAAATTGAACACAACCGTTGCTGCTCTCTTCATGATGAAAAGGCGGCTCTTTGCAAAATATGTTTTGTCTATCCGTGGAATGCGTGCTGTACAGCTGCGCAACGACTCACATGTTGATGACAGCTGGCGTTGGGGCTGACGCATGCTCCTCCTGGTCGCGTGGGCTTGTAGGTGTGTGTATCAGCAACCCCAGTGGCCTCTGCGAAAGGGGTGGTTCCGAACCCGAGGTCCGTGCGCGACAACCAGCAGACGATTCCAGACTGAGAGAGATCTCTGGTGTTCCCCTGTCAGACCGTGGTTATTCTTTGTTTGTTGCATTTGTGAACCGGTCCGTGGACCGGTCCGTAGACAAGTCCGAGGACGTCCGTGGACAGCCGCGCGCACCACAGGACTCATCGCCGAACGCTAACACCTATGGATGGCGGTAGTATTGATCACATGCATGCATGGACACCTCCCGCGGATGGACCATGTATGTGTGGACTGGCGTTCACCGATGATGCGGCCGTCAATATCTACTGCTTTGGAAATTGGCCACGTTCCAAAAGTTTGGAAGTGAGTGGGTCACTTTGGATTGGTGGCTTCCAGAGCTTTTACCTAAATACATGTATGAACTCGCTTCGCGAAGTTCCCAACTCTGGATCTCTGGATGGCTTACATGTAGACTATTTTCTTAGATAGAAATGGATTCGTTGGATCATTACGAAAATACAAGAAAAAACTTTTCAAACAAAGGCGCCACGAATTGTACGCCCCCGAGTGAATACAACAGTCTCTACTCCTCCTATAGACTGATATTTATGTATGAATTGTAAGTTGTCGATGAAATATTTTGCAAGTACAAGACTGACGATGCATGGAATATACATTTGTGATACATTTATTTGGAAAATTTTACGCCGCCGCATAGTATCGATCGGTCGATCATCGATACGTTTTGCTACGTTGTCTCCGCCGACAGCCCTTCAACGCCAGCGCCAAAAGTGATGAAGCCGCACCAACCAGTCCATCTTGCTGGCCGGTGGTAAAAAATTCGTTCCTCAGCGGTTAATAACTGAACTTCGAAGCACCTCTCCGGGTGCCGTTTCGTCCGTTCCCGTCTATTTTGTCTTTCAGATGTCCTGGGACACTCCAGCGCTTTGATAGGCTCCCCATCTGGTCCGGTGGGAATGAGATTTAGCCCCCAGCAAGACATCTATCTCTCCCTCTTCCATCATGGGCACCGTCTTCGTTCTTGGTTGTTGTGTCGAGTCAGGTAGGTGCCTTCGTAGGCTTGATTTTGTTTTCACACAAAAACACGTTCCAGGCTCTGCCATATTTCTGAAGTTAATTTAGCCTGTTAACATGTGCACCGGTCCACCTGACGCGGACGCCTTCGCTGGTCGCACGCCCACTACCCAAACAGGGTACAAACTTTGCGTTCTGTGTTCTTTTCGAATGCTTTCGTTCGACAAGTCAAAACTTGAAGAGAGGACATACATACACGCGACAGCCATACAACGTTAGGCGGTGCTCCGGTCTCGATTGGCAAAGTTCGATATTTACGCACACCATCCCTCTCTTCACGAAAGCGCCATCCAAGGCTCTCAAAACAAGGGAGCTGGGATCGAAATGAAAGCAATCACAGCAAACAACATTCGGATTTCAAAACCGGACAGAGGCAAGGCTAACTCCTGCAGCCAAAAAGTGCATGCGCCGTCTCAAAAGCGTTTTCGTTCTACAAGTTGAGGCTTGTCTCTCAGATTTTTTTTTTCTTCGGGTTTCGCTACATAAAAGGCGTTCGAAAGGGACACAAGGCCCCCGTGAGACCGAGGCACAGCAGCGCTCAGTACGCTCAAGCTCACGCCAAGAGCAACAAGGCCCGCCGAAAATTGGACAACCTCATGATCGACACTATTGAAGCCCTAGGCTCAGATACAGCCACGCCGCCACACCATATATACCACTACCCCTTCCTACCGACTGGTTGCCGAAGGCCATGTGCCCAAACACCATCCCTATCGTCAGCCAGGATGATCGACTACTCCGAGTAAGCCACGATACTTGACGTGCATCCATCTCAATTACAAAACCAGCCCATCTTTCAATGAAAGAGAAACCACCCAACTATATATGTCCTCCATCTTACGGCTAGCCCATGGGGGCCATTTCGTTGGTCCGGGTGTGGGGCCATATGCCCCGCACGAGCCGCCTCCTTCTTCAAAGCGTGAGCTTCAGAACCGCGCTTTTTTCTCCTACCCTCGCCGCATACGGCGGAGGACATCTCCACCCAAGTTCATCGGTTCACCGACGACCGAAGCCTCCTCGGTGCCACCGGGGGTCGGCGCGGGGGTGCCGTGGTGGGGGCCGGGAGGGTGGGGGTGGGGTCCAGGTCCGGGCGGCCCTGGGAGACACAGAAAAGGGGCAGGGGGACGGGTGTTTGGTGATGAAAGTACAAGGGCGTCCTCGGATCTGAATTATTTTTCCCTTGCACGCCAACACCCCCCTCAGTGAGAGCGAAAAAAAAATCCCCGGATAAAACGAAACGACCTTATCGTTTGATATTTTTGCGCCCTTTACGTCGTGGAAAATTCGACCTTCGACAAATCGGTCCATGGCGTGTGATATGTTGGGCGACACGTACAGCAGACACAAGGGGAGAGGCATGCGTCTCCCATCCGGGTGTCGTCCGGTCGACAATCAACGCGAGTCGACTCCAGTCAAGCAACCTATGTCGTCCAAAACACAAAAAAAAGGTGTGGAGTATGCGCTTAGCACTGCATACACGTTCTCCCCGCTCTTCCCAAATATTGGTCTAACTTATGTCCTACCGTAGCGCTCGCTTACCGGGGTGAGGACCGGGAGGGGGGGGCGGGGGGCGCGGCGGATCGGAAGGGTCGTCAGAAGGATCCTTCTTCATGTCGTAAGTGCGCGGGACGCTACCGCCGTGGTCCGCGGCATGCAAGATGAAGGACTCATCCTCCGTGCCGGCCGGGGTCGGGGCGGAAAGGCCGTGGGGAGGGGGGGG